AAAAAAAGGTCCAATTAAAAATTTATCAATTATTCCTGCCCATACGTTTAAACTAAACTGGTGTTGATGTCTTGAATGCGCGATAACATGTTGGTTTTCCACATGCCAATTGTGATCATTATGAAAATTGAATATACCATTCTTGGTGAAACTAGCTTACTAGAGTTTGCTCTGTTTATGAAATGCATTATGTCTCATAAACGAAGACAGATAGGACATATGTTTATATGACTTTTTTTTCATTATTTTTAGGCGTACAATTAGCTCCCGAAGTGGGTCGCACAAGTTACGAAACACCCTGTATATTTATTAATTCTCATTTTAATCCAATTATTTTCATTCTTATTTCATCTCTACCCGAACTGAGTCGATTTTACTACACAAACAGTATGATCGAAACATAATCCTGAAAATTGTTAGAGAACAAATGTTGGAGGCTTCGTGCTCAGTACCTCATGAAAATATCGATACCCATTTTATACCTTCTGACATTTACTGACATACTTTAACAAACATTTTGATATGTGTTTAATACTTTGCAAAAGCATCGATACTTGTATACAAATTAAACTCTTGAAATTGTAGATACTCATTTGGTACCTCATTGAAATATATAAATAGTGGAAAGAATTATATTTTATCAATTAAAACAACAATGACACAAAAGCAGATTGTGGTTCCCTTTCGGTGAAAATGTAAAGATTACTATAATAGCTTCGTACGTGTAGATATATGTATGTCAAACATGTATCGATACCTAACACTTTAACTGACTTTAGTTGTCCAAATATTAATGTTAGTAAATAGAAATTATTAAAATAGTAAAAGTCAATGATTATTACATTATACTACATTATGTTATAAGATTTATACAATACTAGTTTTAATACTTTTTATAAATAATATTTCTCGCTCACAGTGGACACTATATAAATATATAAATATACAAATTTGCAGATAGCAAAATCAAACGAGCATCGATGCTCTCACAGAAGTATCAAACGGACGTCAATATATTTTACATCTATATTCTACTATTAGTAATCAATTCACGGTGCCATAATTTGCATGACCCTGCATCAATTACAATTACAGAATTCTTTTATAAAAAAAAAAGAAAACACCATAAATGCCAAAAACTTCAATTAAATTTTTCAGAAAAAAGAGAAAAAGTTATCATTCATTTAAATTTAAATATGTCTGTTTCTAGATTATTTGATCATGTATAAAAGCAGGAATATGTTTCTTTGGAGCATACGCATTACAGAATATAAATAACAGTAACTATAACTGAAAACCTGGCTTCTTCCACCAAAAGGAAGAAAGATCTTCAATCACGTTTCGTTTTCTTTTCGACAGAGTTGCGCGCAGTTTTTACGATCGAACGAGGCAGCGATTCTCGAGGCTGTCGGTTTGATAGCGGCGACCGAGCATGTGGAGATCTTCGGAGAACACGCCGGCAACGGAGCTGGAAGCGGAAACGGCGGCAATCAATGCTCCGCTCATTACGGCGTACGATCCAATTCTAATCCCGGTATTGGCGCTATTCAACATACGAACAACGCCACGGCCGGTTTCCATCATTATTCCAGCGGCTCATCGCACGCGCCGAAACGGCGCGCCTCCGATACACCGTGAGTTGCGAATCCTGTTAAGCCTCGTCCAGATTGACAAACATTATCTGTAGACAATCTGCATACATTCCGTCTACGTAGCATTCGATGCTACAACGGAGCAACGGTGAATTTCACATGTGGTAGAACGTCAGAGTTGGGAATTTGCAGATATTAATATTTGTATTGCATAAATTATTAATACAAATTTAGTACAAAATTATATGTTATAGAATATTATTATAAATATAATACATATTATTATATTATTATAAATGTTATATTAAATATATAATATTTATAATATTGTTGTAATTTAATATTGTTATAGAGTTGGGAATTGAAAATATTAATATTTGTATTATATAAGTATTAATATATTATGTGTTATATAAAATTATATATTATAGAATATTATAAATATTATATTAAATATATAATGTTTATAATATTATTATAATTTAATATTGTTATAGAGTTGGGAATTGCAAATATTAATATTTGTATTATATAAGTATTAATATATTATGTGTTATATAAAATTATATATTATAGAATATTATAAATATTATATTAAATATATAATGTTTATAATATTGTTATAATTTAATATTGTTATAGAGTTGGGAATTGCAAATATTAATATTTGTATTATATAAGTATTAATATTATGTGTTATATAAAATTATATATTATAGAATATTATAAATATTATATTAAATATATAATGTTTATAATATTGTTATAATTTAATATTGTTATAGAGTTGGGAATTGCAAATATTAATATTTGTATTATATAAGTATTAATATTATGTGTTATATAAAATTATATATTATAGAATATTATAAATATTATATTAAATATATAATGTTTATAATATTGTTATAATTTAATATTGTTATAGAGTTGGGAATTGAAAATATTAATATTTGTATTATATAAATATTAATATTATATATTATAGAATATTATAAATATTATACTAAATATATAATATTTATAATATTATTATAGAGTTGGGAATTGCAAATATTAATATTTGTATTTTAATAAATATTAATATTATATATTATAGAATATTATTATAAATATTATACTAAATATATAATATTTATAATATTATTATAGAGTTGGGAATTGCAAATATTAATATTTGTATTATATAAATATTAATATCATATATTATAGAATATCATTATAAATATAATACATATTATTATATTATTATAAATATTATATTAAATATATAATATTTATAATATTATTATAAATATTAACAAATGTCATTATAAATATGTTTAGTAACATAACATAATTCATAAATTAAAGAAAATGATGGACGACACGACCACAAATGATTAAATAAACAAGAGCCAAAATCAAGAATGCTACAATCGGCGAAATGATGATTCTGCATGGAGAAAGGGAAGAATAAAATTTTGTTCATTCGAGATTTTGCTCCGTTTTCGAGAAAAATGAGTTTGAGAATCCGTACAGTAGATTATACGTTGCACTTATAAGTGAGTAATCGTCTTAACTACATAATGAATGAATTTCCAAGTTCATCCTTTTTCGAAAACGAGGTCTTCAAACGAAAAAAATTTTCGTCCATTCCTTTCAACTTGTTCCTGCATGCAAGAACCAACGCTTGGTTCCGAAACATCCTATATATCGTCCCTTGTTATTTTCGGATTGCCCGTGAACATGTCCGCGGACAATTGTCTCTCAATCTGGACAAGGCTTTTACCGGACCATCTTCACTCTTTTGCCACCTTTTCCCCCGCGATAACAACGACAACTGCCCGCAAAACCGTACACATCGGGGACGGTGTAAATCGCGACGCGTAAATTGCCCGGAACCCGAACACGACCGCGCGAAAATCTTGGTCCGTCTATAACGATAATTCACGCGGTAGCGAACGGCACGCACCTGTGCGCGCGTACGTACGTAGTATATTTGCCAAGCCGCAAACGCGGCGTGGCGTTTCGGTAAAATCTTGGCCGGCAGCCTGCATTTCTCAGCGGTGTTTACCAAGCCGATAGAGAAACGATGGCTCGCTCCTCGAGGAGGCAAATACATTGGCGATCGTGTATACGATCGCGTGCGCGATCTAGAATCGATCGATCGTGCACAAAGGCTGTTTGGGTATTTCCAAACACAGCTCCGGGGACGGCGGGTAGATAGGATGTGCTCGCGTCGTTGGAGAAACGGGCGCCGACGCGAATCCGAAGGCGACAAAACGCGACGTGCGCGTTGGCAATGCCAGCCTGGCCTCCTCTCGATATGTCTGCCGGTGACGTTTCCATATATCATCGGAGTACCACCTTTCTCCAACACCCCGGGCCGTCCTACTCCCTACCCTTCGACCTACCGGCAAACTTGCCTCGAGTACCTATCACCGTTCTGCTAATGCAGCCTCCTACGTTCTCCCCTTAACGCCGCGCACCCACTTTCACGATTCGATTCGACCATCAGAGCGCACGTCGCGGGACTACGCAACCGCCCGTGGTCACCGATTTTCGATTCGCCAAACGAACTAGCTTAGCTTCCCTTCGCTTATCTGGTCGAACTATCTGGCAGGTACTACGAGAACGGCGCCGCTCTCCTCGAGGACGTTCCAGTATACGGGAAGAGGCTTACGAATCCATGGAGTCATCACCATCCGCCGCAGCCGCAACAGCAACCGTCCACCGACGGTTCCTCGCCGTACTGTTGGTATCATCCGCTTCATTCGTCGAGCGGATCGATTCAAGGTCTCGGACATCGGCACACTCACACGGGTCACAGTCACGCTCACGGTCAAACTCACGGCCACGCTCATGGCCATAGCCAGGGTGACGGTGGTTCCAGTTCGATATCGGCTGGTACCGTGCAGATTAATCAGATGAACGCGTTCTCCGGTCCTCATCATCTAGCTCGACAGCAGCAGCAACAGCAGCAGCAGCAAATTGGCCACGTTCAAACGCAAAACGGCACCCTGGACGACGAATGGAAGAACATTCATATGATGTTGAACTGTATCCTCGGTATGGTGGAGAAGACGAAGAAAGCTTTGGCCATACTACAGACTCGCGGATGCTTCGCGGCGTCGACAACGGCGCCTCCTTTGGCCAGCACCAGTACCGTACCAGCTCAGAACGGCGGTAGCGCTGGTACCACCGCTGCCAGCAATAATCCATCGTCGACAAACGGTTCTCAAGTGGAGTCCTCGAGCGGCGATCGCGAAGGTAGCTTGAAACGGCTGTCCGGCGAGATCGTTGCTCAAACGATCAGGGCGATCGAGGACAAGGTGGCGGAAGTGAAGAGGAAAGACGGTTGGTATTTTGCTTTCTTTTCTTCTTCTTCTTCTTCTTTTTCTTTTTTTTTTCGATTGAAATTAGAGCAACAGCTGCACTTTCAAGTAATTTTAGTAAATGCAATTAAAAATTTAGAGATACTGTTAGAAACATGCTATGCTAATTTATGGTCAATTAGTAGTTACCAAAACTCTTTTTTATATACACCAGTAAGTAACAGATCACATATTTTTTTTATGAAACAGTGTATGTAAACGAGAAATATATATAAAGTGGAGCTACCCACTTATTGAATCATTAATTGTATAAAAGTGGAGTTGCAAATCCCTTAACTAACGGACAATCATTGGGTTTATCTTAACCCAAGATATTTGATATTTATGGTGACATTATATCTACAATTCTTTCTATATTGATGGATTGTATGAGATGTAGTTCTGTACAATATAAATAGACGAACTAAATGGAACAAGAAAAAGACTCCCGGTAGATCATGATTCTAAACGCGTTCGTGTGGCGCATGTAACGTGCATTAATCCTTTGAGTACTTAGTCCACGTTTAAAATATTGCACAAATAATCTTATAATCAATAATTGACTCACTATATTTGAATAATATAGAATAACATAATACAATATATTGAATATAAATATATCAAAAGTATGTGTCCTTAATTTGTTATATATGTTTTTCAGTATTATATTTCTAGACTTTTGGTAATTTTCGTGTCCACATGCATGAATCCATCATCTTACACAGTTGAGACATTTGCAGTTTGCATCACATCCAATTCTATGACTCCATCAGTGTCTTGTGATCATCAAAAATCAATGGAGTGCGTGAAATATCTGAGTTTTTTCTTCATGTTTTCAGAGGAAGCCGTGAAAAGGGCCGTAATGGCCGAGGTTCAGCGTGCGGTTCGAGTGGCGGTAGCTGAATCTAGAGCGAACGAACGCCTACGAGTTCATCGAATGCTCGACGTTCCGTTGTCCCAGAGGAATCACGGCAGCCCTCTTCGTCAGGGATCGTACCTGCGAGTTCACGGTAGTCACAGACCGGTCGATGGAAACGCCAGGACCGTTGCTGCGACACCGACCAACTCTGTTTCCAACTCGATCCCGTCGATCAGCGAAGAGGAAAAGGAAACGGTGCCGCAGCTGCAAACCGTCTCGGGATCCGTGAGTATATCTCAGTTGACTAGGATAATAAATTCATATCTGAACGCTCCTTAATCCTTATTCGCATGTAAAAGCCTCTGTACATGTTGAGACATGCAGTATATACATTAACACTTACAATTATGATATGATGATGTATATAGTAACTGGTGATAATATTTGAACATATAAACATTATATGGACACGTTCGTATTATACTAAACATTTGGAACCTTCTTTGGCATTGTCACGATATCCAATCATCATGACTAGACTGCAGACTTTTTTTATGAACATATCTAAAGAAATAGAAGCTAAAATAAAAATTTGTCCTGCCTGCTATATATTCTAATATACAGATACTCTACTTTGGATAAATTATATATTTTTACATAGTCTGTGCATTGTGTGCATTTTTGAAACCTTTTGACTTCTTGTCTGCAGTCTAATCACGATTAATGATTCTAAAAATGTATACAGAAAGCATAAAATATTTAGTATCTACAATAAATATGTTTCGTAGAGATTACTTTTACATCTAATAATATTGGAAGTGGAAAAATACCTGACATTTTGAAGATGAATCTCAAAACTGAATAACGTGAAGATAAACTGACAAACTAATGCAGATTTCATGAAATTTAACAAGAAACATGATTGCACAAATTCTCCCATCAAAAGTACATGTCACAAAGTTCAAGAAAATATAAATTAAAGATCAAAAACTGATCTGATCTTGAGAGATTAACAAAACAAAATTAACCCCAACCTACCCGAACAAAATTAATTATTTTCACAGTAGGAATAAACAAATTGCAATCCATATAAAAATATCTATGTGATTTTATCACATAGGTTGAACAGTGTCTCCTTGCATGCACAATACATTTCAACATGTATAGGAATCCTAGCTTCTTTTCACCGGTTACACTTTCATCCCATTCATTTGCATCGTCGAATTGGTTTTCAGAGTTGTTGGAACTGTGGCAGACCAGCGTTGGAAACGTGCGGTGGTTGTGGAATAGCGCGATACTGTGGCTCCTTTTGCCAACACAGAGACTGGGAAACCGGTGGTCACCACGCGACGTGTAACAACCCTCCGCCCCGCGAACCTCGGAGATCAGCGTCTCGTAGTCCGCCGAGGATCGCCAGCGTGAACGAGGCGAGCGTCGCCGCGCCGATACCAGCCAGCGGCGCGACCAAAGGGAAGTGACGTTACGATGGCAACTACTATCGATTCCGACGATTCGCCAGACCGATCCAGTACGACTCGCGTTAACGTTAACACCCTTTCTTCTATGTCGAATCATACATCTTCTGCATCTTTTCCACATTCTCGACACTGGTCCTGACACAGGTCGTTTGATTGCGTTTCCACTTGAAAGCCGTTGCCGCTGCACACTGCCGCGGTGTCGAACGTTTTCTCGAAATTCATTCGTCGGTACATGCCAGGCCAAGCTAAAGAGTTGAGCAGTTAAACAAATGAAATTGATGCCCCTCTATGAATTTGTAGTTGTAAACCGTTCGTCGAATTTTCTTCTTTAGAATAGTCTGTGTAACGGTTCGTTGTATTGCTATTTGATCGAAGCGACAGAGTAGAGATAAATAACGTGTATATATGTATATTTCGGATCGTAGATGGTTCGAATAAACAATCACTTTAATATTGCAAACGTCGAACGTAAGAGTAACGCTGATTCCTCGCTATATTTCGATACTACCGTGTGCGCCGTACGTGCGTGATAGAAACTGAAAGACACGAACCAAGCTAATGCCGCCCAAAACAGCAAACGATCCGATAAACAATTTAATTTTTATGACACTAGTTTTACGATGATGCTGGAGGACAAAGGAAAGAAAAACAAAAGCGACAACGATATCAAAGGAAATTATACGTGTTGTACGACCTCTAGGTCTCCCTACGAACATGTAACGTGAGGAAACAATTAACAAGGTATTTAACATGTTTCATCAAGTTCAAGATCAAATATCATCAACTTTGAAATTGTTATTGCTTTTTTTCTCGCCTCAGAACTTGATGCAACGAATTTAAGTTTTTCTTTTCTTCCAGCGAAATCGATGTACGGCGTAATGCAATACCCCATCGATCATTCTCCTAGTCAATTGATAGATAAACACGGTCGCAACGCGACGTTTTGTTTTATACGCGTGACAATGTATATAAATGCATGTGCACGTTTACGAATCTAGTCATTGTCGAGTCGAGAGGTAAAACGTGTTTATCGGTCGTGCGCGCGTTAGGAAAACTTTGCTCAAATCTAAACTACGAATCGTTGTATGTTTTTTCTAGGTGTATTTTACGTTGCAGGGATGTATGATGGATTCTATAGATTGTATTTATGAATTAACGAAATACATGATTATTCTGTGTCATAATGGTTAAAGAACAAGCACTGATCATCATTCTCTTCTGCATAAGTGTCTCTTTGATTCGTTGACATACGTGTAGTGTAGAACAATGTTTATTTAATGTAGACAGCATGATTTCATAAAAACGCGTTACTTCTTCTTTTCCTTCTTCATAGTGTCTCCTATTATATTTGCAAAAAGAGCTTTCGTCTTTTCTTCCTTCCCCAATCCTTCCTTCCAGTCATTCCTGTTTCTCACAAACAGCGGAACGTTCAGTTTTTTGGACATGATTTGTCCAGACATGGTCGAACGTAAAGATTCTCCGATTTTTGCCAATTCCTCCATGATCAATATCTTCTGATTTATAGATGCCCAAGCCCATATTCTGTCCAAGCTTCTGGAACCGTGTGTGCTCTTAGCTAATTGTGACCAGTACCCTTTTAATTTTTTCGCAAGCTTCTCCCTACTTTTTTCACCAACATACTTGCTGTCCATAAAAGCATCTACAATACGACTGCCTTTTGGATCTTCGAATATCTGCACTATTTTTTCTACGTCCGTTTCCAACAAGGAATTGACCATCTTTATAGGTTTGTTAAACTTAAGAATGGCCTGTACAATCAGACTTCCATGTAAGCTGATCAAACATCTTGAGTCATTTTCCATTTTCCCTTCAGAAGTCTCACAATTCTCAGACTTTTTTAAGCTAATCACACACGCCAATATTCGATGCTGTTTCTCATTTGCCCCGCAATCAAGAACGTTCAATAGTTCAGTTACAAATGCACCTTGCTTCGTTTGTAACCTTAAACACGCGTTCGCCACGCTGACTAAAACACCGGTATGACCCTTGTCGAGAATGTCGAAGAAATGCGAATGAATTTCTTCGAATAATTGTTCAAAGTGTTCCTTCACGTTGCAGTGATCGAACAGTCGCTGCACGCTGAAATTTGTGCTCCGCATCAACGACAATTGCTTCAAATTGTGTGAAAAATAGTCTTTGTATATGGCGAAGAAACACTTGGGACTTGCTACCGATAAACAAGCCTCCAGTAGTCTGGTTGAACTTTCCTCCTGAAAAATGTTGGGCAACTGCTGCTCCTCCATCTTTGGTCTGAAACATTCGTTTGTAATTTTCCTGATGTACGCTTCCATTATTTCTGGGAATACATCGTTCAAAGAATACAAGGTGCTCTGTAACAATCCAGATGTAAGTTCGTCTTGACCAAATTCCCTGAATCTAGGCCAGTTGTACAACGAGTTGCACGTTTCGTACAACAAGTCTTTGTAACTCTGTACGACTGGTCGTTTTTCACCAAGCATCAGCTTTCTCTTATTGATGCTGTTGTCAGGCTTATCGATGAGACCACCGAGACATTCTAGGACAGTTCTTAAAACATGATTCGCATACGTATCGAATACAAATTCCTCTCTGTTGTTAATGAAATATTTACTCAGCTTCAACACGATGTCGTTGTAAGTGTCTACTTCCAGCTCCTTAACCTCTATACTTATAACCTCTATACTGGCATCTGCGTTCGGCTCCGAGGACGATTTCGAAAGCGTGTTCCGGTTTCCTCTGTCGGCGCAGACCACTATGATCTTTTGCAAAACGTGGCTAGCGAACCTGTCGCTACTGAGAAGTCGGAAAGAGGGTTGAAAAGCGTTAACTAACCTCTGAATCGTCTCCAAGCTCGCGTACTTTAACAGCGAATCCAGTATCCTGGATCCAACTTGATTCTGGGCGTATTCGAGCTCGTGGCCGACAGTTTGTTCGTACACGTTATTTACAAATATCAATTTCTCCTCTGTGGTTGAGAAATCGCTTTTCATCAACTCCAAAATATGCACCATGTACTGATAAGTTTCGGCATCGACGTCCGAGTACCCGTGGTTTCTTCGTCGGGCCAATTTTTTCGCCATCTGAACGTGAGACCGCTTTTTCTTCCGTTTTTTACCTCTTTCGTGATCGTCGGACATTGTCTAAAGCAATATCTCAACTTTACGCACGAAACAGTTGGCACATAACTTCTTACACTTTCTTAACCTTCTTAACCACGCTGGTGAGCATGAAAGACAACATTCGTCGTAGGTTGCGCCCTCTACGTTGAAATCAATGATGAAATGTACGAAATTCAAAAAAACAAAGAAACGAAATTATTAAATTCTAAATAGAAAACGAATGCTACGTGAAAATTACATTATATATAATAATTAAAATTACTAACCACGTTTTTCGTATCGTGCGTTCTTCCCTTTATTTTACATATTCGAATTAATCTACATAAATCTTTATAAGTCGTCTTCTCGTAATTCGAAGATTCTCATCGTCTGGCTCATCAGTACGTTTGTTCGTATCTCAACAAGAAAGAAAACTCTATAATGGACGTAATAGTGGAGAAACATGGAAGAGACAAGAACTTCCGAATGCGGTTCTTTGGATCTCACTAGCCGTTTTGTCGTCCCGTAGGCTCGGATCTTTTCCAACTGTCCTTCCAACCAATATGAATCGCGGATAAATATCTCGATTAGCGCAAACGAATCGTCTATCGTAGTTAATTAAAGGCCCCATTCGACTGCTATCACAAATAGAGAAAAAGAGTGTATCGAACTGAAATAGTTCTCATTGAGGACAATAAACCTTTTCTTTATCTAAGAAATATATGTATATATATATATATATGTGTGTGTGTGTGTGTGTGTATATAGAAAGAGAAAGAGGATCGTTGTTTTTTTGGATTGACATTGACAGTTTCGTGAATCAACGAATGGTATGCGTTTTCAAATACTATAGCTATTCACCCGTACAAATTCACACATTGCGTGATTTTTTCAACGACCTGTCGCGAGTGGTCGGTTGCAACTATAAGAAACCTCGTCGAACAGTAGAATTTCCGAATGTCTCCGTAATGACATGTAACGTTACAGGTACCTTCAAGCATCAACAAGTTTTTTTTCTTTTTTTTTACAACGATGCATTAGACTGCATTCTTAGGTAACGTCGTTCGGACAACTTGTACAGGTAGAAGTGATCGCCGCATCGATTGACATCGAATCACCGATCCGACATCTACTAATTGTTCAAACAACATGTTTCGTCGATCAAGTAGTTGAGGAAAATGGTTTGATATGCAGACAATTTGAAGTTGCAGGCATCAAACAGCTCCGTACTCTTCGCTAGATGGTGATTCGTCGCTAGGTGGTGGCCTGGGTGGTCTGGGTGGCCTGGGTGGTCTGTGAAGGTGTACACCGGGAGCCGGTCTCCTCGGAGGTGGTGGAGGATGGGTTCCGTAAGTGGTATCGTCCCCTTCTTCGCTGCTGGGCGAAGGTGACGGTGCTCTGTCTTCTTGTTCTTGCAGAAGCTGTCGAAATTCTTGAATAGATTCGTTCAAAGACCAAAGTTGCGCCAACAAAGAGAGATCCAGCTGTCGAAGGCCAAACTGCAAAACAACATTCGTTTTGTTAACGCTTGACGTTTACATTTTCGAAAGTGTGCAGAAAATATTAGCTAACAAACAAACAAACAAACGTCGTCAAAGTGTTTGATTTAACAAGACGCGTTCACTTTTAGCATACGATTGCCAAGGCAAGCGTTAGTGTTTGAAATTTACCGAACTCGAACGGTGTGTATTTTCAAGAGAGCGGCAACTCTCGTGATACACCGGCCGTGGGAATAAAGGAAGAGAGAATTAGGTAGGAGGCGCAAAATGAGAATGGGAATGAGAGGGCTACGTTGGCGTAGCAAGAACGAAGATAAGAGAAAAGGAGGGAAGAACAAGAGTGGAGGTAGGAAGGAACGAAGGTGAAAGAGAGCGGCCAGAAAAAGGAAGCGAAGAGGGGAGTCACGCCTGAGGGAATGCAGCGTGGGAGCGGCTGTGCCAGTTCGCTTCGTGTCTGGATTAACTATTAAACTATTAGCCCAACTTTCGAGTAAACTATGTTTTGGACATTGGCCGCGATATTCCATCATATATTGTAGTTAAAATTTAAACTGCATGGCACGGAGGAACTAGTAACAAAACTTTCCATAAAAAAATAAAAAAAAGAAATTAAAACAACCATTGCACAACACAAAAAAATGTGTTAGTCTCTCGAGAGAAGAGCCAATGTTTGGAGGTACATATTTACCGTGTCTTACTTGTGACGGTATATACATAAGCGTGCAACAGAACCTCCGAGGTAACGGGTCTAATTGGATCGACTGGATTTAACGCGATATGTACGAGCGATAGAAAGGACTCGGAAAACATCCGCGCTGTAATAGTTTTCATCTTGGTTATACAGCTCGGCGTTCTGTTAACACACAATCAGCGACGTTTCGATTAATTTGACCTTCCACCATTTATAGAAACATCGCGTCGCCGTGACTCGTAAATCCGTGGAATTTTCCTGCTGACTCGTGAATACGTACACACACATAGTTAACAAGAACACGCATGACTAACAGCGCTCATTCAAACCGGTCTCCTTTAACAATAATACTTATACTCGATCAATGTCTTTTTCTCAGTTCTTCTTCTTAGTAAACAGTTTTTTTTTTTCCATCTGTAGTAGTAAAAGTGATTCGGCACTGGGAAGTGGCTAGAAAATAGGAATATACAGATAATAACAGGACAGGGACAGGGACAAAGAATAGAGATTGGGAGAGGATGTGAAAAAGTTTTCAGTGTTTTCAATCACCATTTCTCTCCTGAGTATAGCCAGCTGCGTGTCCAACGTGGTTAGTTGCCTGGCAGGTGGCGATGGCCTGGACGACGACTGGATCGAAATTTTGCCGCCTCTTTGTGTTTTACTGGAAGATCTAGTAGGCGGCGGAGGCGGTTCGCAACCCTCGCTTCGTCCACCGCTCAAATTGAATCCACTGAGACTCCTCGGTAACGGTGGTAGACCTTGCAGGGAAGACATCGCGATTCTCTCTTGTATGCTGAAAAAGATGAAAGACGTCTGCGGATTTTTATGCATTTATGGACAATTTGAAGATGCAAAAGTGTAACATAGAAAAAAGTATAATATTTCCTTCGATATTCAGAAAAATAATATTCAAATAATAACAATAAATAATATTATATATAATAATTATACATATATATAATAATATTATACAAAAGGAAATATCATTTCCTTTAATCAGAAAAATAATATTCAAATAATAATAATAATAATAGGTGTCATTTTTTCCATTATCTTCATAAAAATATATTTCTATCATTTACTCCAACAGTTTGTTCAAAGACTTGTTTGTTACTAAAAATCGCGACGTTTCATTCAATGTCAGCCTTGAGACCAAGGCGATTCAATTAACATTTAACTGCGACAAAACATTGGTCCGACTCCGTGCATGTTGATGCTCACTTGAACGCCGCTGTTTCGCACGAACGGTGGCAAAGTAGGTTAGCAGGTAAGGAAAATTAGGAACGAAACGATATACTCTGATATTAGATCCTCCTAGAAAAGAACCTGCAGCCGACACTTTTATTTCTCGTCTTCCTTTTCGTCGGTTGTTTTGTCACGCTTGATTGAATCGTTGCGGCAAAAAAAAAAAAAGAAGCGTATCGTGCGAGACGAGAAAGTCGAACCACGGAGATGGTTCGGATGAATCACGTTTCCAATAGATATATATATATATTTTTTTTTAGATTTTTCATATCACGATCGTTCAATTATTAAACGCTTTAACACGCTTTTTATATTGCATCCAACAAATCGCGTATGTATCATTCTTCTTGATAAACTACCTCGGAACGTTAATGTCGCTGAACTTCTCGTTTTCACAACGATTGTACCCGTTGACTCGGCTCCCATCGACGATGTCCCCGTCTTCGCCAGACAACCTAATCTGCGTAGATGAATAATGGATACCGGCTTCCAGCCAATCTTGCCGATGAATGTTGTCGTTGTCGTTATCATTTTCGTTGGTACGGTCCTTATGATGCTCGCCGCCGTTTTGTTTCTCAACGTGATCATTCGACGCGGCAGCCCTACGATCCGATTCGTCGACAACAACCACCGTACCACGATCAAGAACGTTCGAAACGTTCGAGGCTTGATCGTTCGCACACGAATCGTCCGCAGACCGAGTTACCGCGCTTTTCCTCGTCGAACTCGTCGTATCCCCCCGATGCTTCACGGCACACGATCTCTGAGTTGGCGTTGGCCTTCTCTCCGAACAGTGGTGGCTCTTCTCTGGCAAGTTCGACTTCGACTTTTCCACCGGCGACTCGAAACGGTGATGGGAACGCAACACGTCGTCCAATGACTCGACCGAGCTCCGATCCAACGATCCCAAGGCGGCCGATTCGGGCAACGAGTTGTCCAAAGCTGGTTCATCGTCGTTACTACACTGTTTACCGTTGTCATTGGCCGACGATGACTTCTCGTCGCTGGTCGCCACGCCGTTCGAAAAATGTTCGTTTGGCGACGCGCGACCCTCTCGACAGGCAACGTCGACACCAGTGACGATGCTCGATTCACTGAAATTTCCCCGATATTCCTGACCGGGGACGGTTGTACTACGATGCCGCCTTTCCCGCGGATTTCCACGACGCTCGTCCTCGTCCGTGCGCCTTTCACTCGCGACTCGAGGAACGAGTTCGTTGCTGCCGCCGCCGCCGCCGCCGACGACGAACCGAGCTGAGTCGTCACGATGATCGCCACTTTCGTTCCCGGTTTCCTTCGGTACCGAATCTTTGATCGACTCGTAAACGACCGTTCGACCAGCAGCTGGACTCACCACCTGCTGCTGTTGCCGATTGTTCGACCGGTCACGATCCGATCTCCACGGTTTTGTGTTTGGCGGTGGCGGGGCCTGTCTAGTCGGGCAGGGTGGCCTTGGTGATCTTTTAAGGGCTTCGGCGACCACCTGCCGGCTCGGCCGCGGTGGTACCGGTGGTGGATGAGGTCTCTGTGTCGCTGCCAGCTGCATTTTATCCGCTGTTTCCACCACCGCGGCGAGTACCTCTCTACGAGCGGCCACCGTCGCGTTGCCACCTCGTCTCGCTTCGTCCAAGATGCATGCTTGTGACTCTTACAAATTACGAATTACAATCTACAGAGATCGGAGTTTCCCCTGACAAATAATATAACGATTATAATCTCGATTATCTCTGCCTCCTCGTGCTTTTTTCCGATTTCGCTATCACGATAACATAAATGTGTGATATCATCATCCAAACACGCGATCGCGACAAACACCGAGTGGCTGTTAGAGAGATCGAAAATTAAGCGACGAAACGATTCGTTCGTTGTGCCTTTTACGTTCCACCAGGCGTACGACGTCCGCTGTTTCGATCAAACGTGGGGCACGATTCCAAAGCGGCCGCACCAATGCAGAGCGGCGTTTCAACCGCGAGTTTCTCTTTCACTCTGATTTTACTATTTATTCTCTCCTCCTCTTTGTTCTTCCGTCCGCTTCTTCCTCTCAGCACTCGTGCACGCGATTCACTTCACGTCGGCAAGCGCGAATGAAACACACACAAAAAAANAAAAAAAAAGAAAAGAATCACCGCTTAATCGTCTTCGCGATTCACGAGAAATTACGCAAGAAATCCACTGGATCGGTTCGCGGTACGCGCGACATTTTCGAAGACGCTGGATCATTCAAACGAGCGAAACAAGCGCGGAACGCCGCCGCCGCGATGTGAAGCGAGTTGAAGCGAGTTGCGGCGAGTGGCGACGAGGTGGGGGCGAGTTGAAGCGAGTTGTAGCGAGTTGCGACGAGGTGAGGCGAGGTAAGACGTGGCAAGGTGAGGTGAGACGAAGTGAGGTGGTAAGTTCAGAAGCGACGGGGTGAGGCGAGGCGAGGTGAGGTGAGGTGAGTTCAGATGCGGTGAGGCGAGGTGAGGAGAGGTGCGATGCAGTGTGGTGCGGCGCGGCGAGACTAGGTAAAGCGAGATGAGTGGAACAGCGACGAGGCGAGGCAAAGTGAGACAGGACGAAGGAGTCCGGTCGAAGGAAAACTCGGTCCCAGGTATTCCTGATCCGCTATCGTCTCTATCCCCGTGTCCCCTGACCCTTCTCCCCTCTTCCAGTGGTCCAAACGCGGTAGCTGGTTCTATGCTCCGTTTCTTTCTCTCTGTTACTCGTTGAACGAACCGCTGCTAACTGACTACGCGATCCCACAAACATCCTTCACGTTCGGGGGGCCACGTGACTGGGGCTCGAACTCCAGCTCTAGACCGTGTTCTCCGAGGCAGCCAGGCAATGGACGTGCTACGCCGAAGCCTCTGCCACCTATCTTTCTCGATCGTGTACATGCGTGATGCATTGGTGTGCTAGCCATCAACCAGTCAGTCAGCAAAAGGACACACCGGAAAGGCTCATAGATTGAACCTGCTGTCGCGATAATATCTCCTCAAGTGCAGAGAGACATAGATATAGGAGAGATGTGTAGAGATGCACGTAGAAACAAACGGCAAAAACTTCATATTTCTTTCTTGATCATAAACTACAAGTCATGCGAATTTATGATACAGTATATATATTATACATTCATCTGTATATTTATCTGAAGCTGAACTGTGTTTCAAATTCGTCGCTATTCACGTATACACGTGTACAATAGAGAGAGAGAGAGAGAGAGAGAGAGAGAGAGAGAGAGAGAGAAAGAGATTAGGGAGTAGGGGGAATCAAATGAAGGGGAGTCAGAAGGAGGGAGTGTAAAAAGCAGGACGAGAATGATCGGCTCGCATGCATGTGTGTGCATGAGCGTACAATTACGCGTACTACTATGCAAAAGAGGTACGAGCGAAAAGGATAAGTAAGCTAAACGATATAACTGTTGAGAGTAGAATGGAGCGGAGGAAACGAGGAGGAGAGCAGCACGTAATTGCGAGATAAGAGAGATGCGTTACACCTCGATCAAAGTATAGAAGAAGAGGAGGAGGAAGAAAAGAAAGTGTGGCAACGGAGAGAGTCGATGAATAGGAATTGCATTTTGAGATGAACACAAGGCAGAAAGCGTACATAAGCGGGATTTTCGTAACCGTTTTATTACTAATCATACTTCTTTTCTCATTTTTTTTTTTTACACCTAATGATGAGTTGGCAGAAATGACTTTTGAGGGATAGAAGAAAGGCAAAGGAAAATACGCTGCTGGTAGAAATAAATAAGAGAAGAACAAATGACAATTGTGAAATTGTACTGTCAACGATGGATCAAACAAATTTGATTCGAATTCGATCTTGTCTGTTAGTCTCGAATCGGCACAACGTAAATAGATTTCTCAAAAGTGTCTTCGAGTGCTCGCGCGATCACGTTACGTTCGAATTTCGTTCACACTCTGTTTCCCGACGTACAGAAGAGTCACTCGTTCTACTTTCACTCCAATTCTTCTGCGCGAAACCCGAATCGGCATCGCGCGTTTGCAAATCATAGCACGCTGCATCGAGCAAAAGTTGACGATTCCTTTTCGGATAATCGCATAACGCGGATCGTGTGTCACTCACGCAAAAATCTCGCTTGCGATATATGTATGTACATCTTGTGAAATGATGTTCGTGGTTGCGGTTGGACGACAAAGAGGAGGACGAGCAGATAAATCTGCTGTGCAATTCGATCGTACGAATTACAAATGTTCGGTATGACATCGCAGAGTTACTTCCTGCATACCGATAGGATGGCGTTGAGTAATAGCATTGCTCGTTGGTACCATAAATAAATTCGCTAATCGCCGGCACCATCGGTAGTAGTTCTTCCGTCAGATGAAGTACCGCGTTGAATGCTCGCACTCGTGAAATACTGTTACGTAAGCGCGAGATATGAGAATCTCGTTACGTCTGCAATTCGACGTAATGCAGCCAATTCGTACATTCCAATAAAATCTTCCGATACTTTACTACTTGCAGCTGTAGGTAATTTTCGTCAATGGTCAGTTTCAATTCCTCCTTCGTAGTGGTTTTCGTCGAACCATCGTTCTCAGGCAGTTACTCACTAAAATGTCGACCGATTGCATCCACAGAATCGTCGATAACGATCGATTAATTGTAAAGTTTCGCATTACGAAATGCGAGGAGAAGCGAAAACGGAAAACAGGCAGACAGGATATGTTACATTGGCTAGGATGAAACGGCGATGTACATACATCCAAGCTGAATCGCTCCCCTCCTTTCAGCGAAAGTGTAACAAAGTTGATCATCTTTTCCCAACGTAGACAAAAGCAACGCGAACGGTGACCAACATTTTCATCAAACAGTAATTGAATTCTTTTGATAGGTGTAGCTTGTAACAAACGGCATTACCTGATTACTCGTTGTGTGCTGACACCTGCGGGATCATCGGCAAACCAGCTACTCCTTGAACTTCCATTCCTGACGACACATCGGACAGAGATGCCTGGTTTGCTGCGAATGCAACCACTTCATGATGCAGTGTATGTGGAAGCAATGCGAGCATTGGCCCCAGACTAGAACAGTATAGAACCAGTATTTACATCATAAACATTTCTTCCCCCGGGGCGAAGTATCGCGAAACACGCGCACCTTCTATTATATCGACAACAACCGGCGACCACACAGAGTTTGTCGAGTTTACATTGACACGCGCGGAGTACGCGCGCGTCAGCAGAACGTGGGGTATCGTGTGCGAGCGATCCGTTTCATTTCGGCACACCGATCGATATTTAGCCTGGCAGCTGCGCAAACGCTTTCGCGCGTATTTTACAAACCGTCTATCGTAGCAAATCAATCGCCTCTAGAGTCACTTCTCGTCTATCCATTTCTTTAATGTTTAACGTTAACGTTTTTGTTTTTCATTAAATAAAAAAAATAAATAACACTCGATTCATCTTTTTCCTTTTTTCCATCCGTCCGTTCACTCGACAAATCCGACGAACGCGTTCACATTAACCTCTTGCGCTAGTGACTGGTTCGCGGACCGTAACGAGTGACCAAACCGTACACAATAATTCGTCTTCTTTTTTGAATTCATCGGTATATCACTGGATAGAAATTAACCAAGAAGTAATAAATTTATCATTTGTTTTGCCTGGGTTATATTTCAATATACTTAAAACTGAGAATGTATTGCAATTTTGGGCGAAATATTCTCGACACGTGGGTGGCACGTCATTCCAGCGCGAGAAGTTAAAAGAATCGTTGTTATTAAATTTTCGCTGAATCAAGGAGTGAAATTGTGAAATTGCTTACCCAAAGGGCAGTCGTCCCCAGGGATTTTACAATCTGGACAACTAGCGTCAAACGGCATTCTACATATGCCGCAATTGTCGTCGTTCGCTATCCACCGCCAGGTGGCAACACCGGTCCAACCTCAAAAAAATTCTCACAATTGTTTACCTCTTTCGTATTTTATGATTCGTGATCTAAATATACGTGATTAAATGGTATCGAATGGAATAATATAGGCAGAAGGATGCAATAGAGAATGCCTTTTAAACTCAACTATCAATAGTTACAATAGTAAAGAAAATATGCAAGCTAGCTGAAAATTTCAATTCGCACACTCACCTTTTATCGTAACTTTCATTCTGCGTATCCAGCGACAAGACGATTTATTATCGCCGATGTGTTATTAACGGTCGATCGATAAATGCACGTTGTAGATTGCTCACTGCAAAAATACGCGGTATACTGAGATTTTGTAAATCACAAAAGACCAAAACCGTTCTCGATCTACGAGAGGTGACACAAGATTGGAAACGTCTCGAGGATTGACATGCCTGGCTATTGCGCCATCTTACAACTTTTGAACAATTGGTGTCAATGTTCGTATCGTATGTACAATTTATACATTGGTAATGTTCCTATACATATCTAATATACACATGTATGTGTGTATATATTATATATATATATATACATACACACATATATGAGAGAAAGTATATTACACGCACTTACCAACCAGTTAGCGTCGCGTTAGTCATTTAAATACAAAACTTCCATCTTATATGAAAACTCGTAAATTTTTTAAAATGAAGCAGCGTGTACGGCTTTCGATATTCTTAAGTTTACCTAGTAAATATTAGTGAATAACAACCGTACGTATATGTACACTTCTTTTGAAAGTTTAAGACGTTAGTCTGTGCAGATTCGCCGGAAAATTCTAGAACGTTAAAACGCGCGTATATCGATAACGTATGAGGTTCGCGTTGCGCTGACGTCGCTCGCACGGAAACTCGCCTTCTCTCTTTGTCGTGCGCACACGATGGTGGAGGGGGGATGGGTGCACCGTTGGAAACAATCCTAGTGGCGGCGCGCCGCTGGATGATATACGGTTGTGGTACGTTTTTGTGATGCGGAAATGTAAGAGTTTCGCATCGAGAACGAGGGAATCGGCATCGGCTGGCGTGCATCGTTAGCCAAGGAGAGGAAAGTCTCGCGGATCGTACGATTTCGTCGAGAGTTTCTGTCAAGATAAACGCGAAACAGGATGACACTCGTGGCTTGAGCCAAAGATCCCCCGGATCTCGTGTGTGCTAGCCTGCCAGCCGCGACATGGCGGGTTTTCGAGACGAGGACAAGGCACTATTCCCTATACAGAGCATATCCTCGATCGTGCGGATCTTCCAGAATCAGTTGGAGAACAGCTCGGAGCCGGACCTCGCTCTGCTCTCGATTCTCGTCGGCGCAGTCGAGAATTCCCTAACCTGCAATCGGACATTTGCGTCGCAGGAGGCCACTGTTTACGACGAGCCGAAATTGCCGGCCGTCGAGTTTCACATCGCCGAGGCCCTTTACACCAAGTTTCACGCGGTGATCAAAGGCGCGGTCGACCTTACCGTTTACGACACCAAGTACGCGACACGAGAACTCGTCAAAAAAGTCTCCGACGTTATATGGAACTCCCTGACCAGAAGCTACTACAAGGATCGTGCTCACCTGCAGAGTCTTTACAGCTATCTCACAGCGAATAAGTTGGACTGTTTCGGCGTGGCGTTCGCTGTAGTTGCCGGCTGCCAAGTACTGGGATTTAAAGATGTACATCTTGCCATGTCGGAAGACCATGCTTGGGTAGTTTATGGAGAGGATGGAACTGAAACTGCAGAAGTTACCTGGCATGGTAAGCGATTTAAATGAACAATAACGCACCTGAGTATAGAGATACTGAGATTTAGAGCGAAGGTTACAAAATTGACTTGCTATGTCTTTAGGAAAGGGAAATGAAGATAAAAGAGGCCAGCCAGTTGAACCTGGGGTGGCTTCTCGTTCATGGTTATACGTAAATGGTCAAGCCGTTGTATGCTCCAGAGCTATGGAAGTTGCCACCATAGTATCGGCCATAAATCCCAGTTTGAGTGCTACTTCGGACGCGGCGGAGGTTGCGTTGCTTCAACAGGAGTTGTTGTGGTTGTTGTATGATCTGGGCCATCTCGCCAAGTATCCCATGGCTCTTGGTAATCTTGGGGATCTCGAGGAAGCAGCCCCGACTCCAGGGAGGCCTCCTGCCATAGATCTTTTTCAGGTATCTTACAGATGATTCGCAATTGTGAACAATTCACTTGTAAGTTTGCACTTAACCTTCCGTTATGTGACTTGTTAGGAAGCTATCCGATCAGCGAGGAAGTACTATGGAAATGCTCACGTGTATCCGTATACTTATCAAGGTGGCTACTTGTACAGACACGGATTGCATGCTAACGCGTTGTCGTCGTGGGCAGACGCGGCGGATGTGTTAAGAAAGTAAGTATCAATCGGTGAGAGAGTGGCGGCATTCGAAATGAATTTGGCAATTTGCTCATAATCAACAATTATCCCGATTCTAATGTGTAATCAGGTATGACTATTCGAGGGATGACGGAGAAATATATAAAGAGTTGTTGGAAATAGCGAACGAGCTTATACCTCATACGGTACGAGCTGACGAACGTTTGTTACGACAGCCGCGTTGTTTTGCTTATTTGTTGAGGTTTTACGACGGCATTTGCCAATGGGAGGAAGGAGCGAATACGCCCGTTTTGCACATAGGATGGGCACGGCCGTTGGTAAATACCATTTCAAAGTTCGATGCCAGTATCCGTGCTCAGGTAATTATCGATTGTTACGACGTGGAGGCGAAACAGGAAGAGGAGAAGTCGCAGAAGCGGGAGACAAGCCCGGAGGAAACGTTGAACAATAACAACAACAACAATTACTGTAAGACTAAAGAGAGAGGCAACGCGGCTCGCGACCTGATCAAGAGCTTGGAGTCGAAAGTGCCGTCTAACCCGGCGCCGATGCATCCCAGCATTCAAGCGTTGACGGCAGCGTGCAGCGAAAAGATACTTAACCGAGATTACCTGTTGCAAGGTGGCGGAGAGCCATTTGTCGCCCCGTCGGACGACGCTCTGCCTCCCGCGCCTTCCACTTCCCAGGAGAACCTCGACCCCGAGGTAGAGACTGACTCCGAGCACGAGAGGCCAAGGATAACGTTGTATAGTCAGAAAATGAAAGGTCTGAAGGACCTGCTGTTGGCTGAGAAATTGAACACGCACGCGATATCGTTGCAGCTAACCGCACAGAGCCAGGTACAAATTGGTAAAAAGTCACGTAATACCGACGAGGTTGGAGTTAGTCAACGTCCAAAGAGGACGCGTCGCGAATAGTATAAGATTTTCGACCGGCGTTTCGGTATCGTAAAATATTGACACGAAAACCGCATGAAAGGTATACTACCCGCCACCACCGGATCGGTTTCGATCGAAGGAAGATCCGCGAGTGGCGCGCGAGCACATACGTGGAACATACGAGAAAACAACGTATGTTCGAGATGTTCGTTGGAATCTTAATTCCTCACCCATTCGTTTCATTCTGTTCGAAATGAACTTCTCGCCCGAAATTCCTTTCGTATATCACTTCGGGATATGCAGAGCAGACGACGACGATAACGTTGTTAATAGCCGTTTTTTCGTTTCACGAAACAACCCCGATGCTTCCGACGCGTCGCGCGTAACCCTCGGGGGGCGGAGTATCGTCGTCGTTTAGATGATAAGTAAAAAAAAAAAGTAGACGCGACAAAGTTTATAGAAGAGTACAAAAGGGTTTTCTCGATTTTAAGTTAAACCGCGAGTGTTTGCGTTTCGTATTTCGTGTACGTTGAGAAAGAAAAAAAAAAAAAAAAGAAGAAGAAGAAAAAAGAAAAAAAGGAGAACGTATTTATCTGTAAAGGATATCCTTTCTTTCTTCCGCAGTGCGTAAAAACTGTGTTAAACATGTTGGTTGGGTAAGAAGGGTGGGTTTTATGGGCAGTTGTGTGGGTCGGCTGGGTGGGAGGGCAGGAATGATGTGGGGTTAGAGAGGTTGTGGTCGCGCTGATGATGTTAGAAAGACGAATCGGACAATGTACCTAATGTATCTTCGCGGTAAGATCAAATTCTCAGCACAGTTATTTATTCTACGATGACTGACGACGGATCGATCAGTTTCTCGATCTCGTCTTTTATCCTATTTCTAATCTCTTGTTGCACCCTTATTTATTGATCCACGCGTTCTTTTTATTTCCCCAGTTCTTTTAAACGAACTGTGTCGCACTTCGACGTATTACAATTGACAAAAGTTGTCGTTAACGGTTTTTTTTTTTTTACGCGGTAGTCGAGTCTTTTGTTAGATGTACGCTTTTACGATCTAATAAGAGAGACCACACACATTCCACACTCCGTACGTGGTGCAAATTAATTAAGTTTTTACCTAAGGTATTTTAAGCATGAAATGCTCGCTTATTTTTATAACTATTTATTTTCAGAGTAATTATATAAGTATATCTACTGCTAGATATTCTATTCTTTCGTCGCTCGTTAGGTAGAAACAGGTATAAATAAATAAATTAAAAGAAAAAGAAAAAAGTAGAGAAGAGTCCACCGAAACGTGGTGGTACACGGAGAGGAGAGTATTGGACGGTGTTTCGTCCATAATCGTGTGTGCGTGTGTGTGCGTGTGTGTGTGTGTTTCACGGTATATGGAACGAGATACGGTAAGCTCGTTAAGTTTTTGGATTTCGCGTGAAATGGGAAACGATACGTACCCCGATACGTACCAAGTTCCTCGGTGTTTTTTCTTTTCATTTTTTTTTTTTTTTCGCGCAACGTACAAATAATTTCTTCCGAGGTAAGCACGCGTCACTCGTTTCGCGTGGCTGTTGCCAATTGTTTCTCCTTGGCAAGTTTTACTTCGGCGTTCTTTCTTTTTTTTTTTTTTTTTTTTTTTTTTTTTTTTCCTCTTTTAATTGCCGATATCACGTCGTCCTTCAAATTTCAGGTGCCAGTATTTCGAGGAACGATCGATGGCACGACATACGTGCGCGATACTAGGCGGAATCATTGATTAATCTCGCTTTCAGTCGGACTCTCTCTCTCTTTCTCTCTCTCTCTCAGTCTCGACTCTCCACGATCCTTTTTTTATTTCTCTCATTGTCCCCGTGTACATTTGCGTACACGACACGAATCCGAATAGTTCGAGGAGCAATGTCGCGACATCGATGTAATGCCGATGGGAAAGAGGGAAATTAATGGACAGGACGATATCTAGACGGGTTGTTGTAGCATACGTTGTTGAATGCGGAATGAAGTATGAACAATCCGAGAAAATCCGACGATCACTTAAACAATTGAGGGGCGCTATCTTACTGTGATGCTGAATATATATAATTATACATATACATAAATATATATATATATACGTACATACATACATATGTATACGCGCGCGTATGCGTATATGTAAAACAATCTGTACACACGTTCACGCGTATACAGTACGTCTGATTTATTCGTATACGTATTTTAAAACGAAACGATATGTTTTTTTCGATCTATTGATCGATACAACGACACTCGCTCTGTGTATAAAAGAAAAGAAAAAAGAAGATATTAACCTATCTGTAACGAAATATTACCAGCTCGGAAGATATTCTGCCGGTTTGATTTTATAAAATGAAACAACATGAAGGAAACAACAAGATTTTGCATTTCACATTACATTTTTACTTTAATTTAATTCTGCCGTTTAATTTTGTCGTTCTTCACGATGAATTTCACGCGGAATTCAAATCGAAATATCTCCTGAACTAACAATTGTTTTCGACATGTATATAATTAATTTTTTTTTTCTATCGAGAGAATATTTTGTTATTTCATTAGTCTTCGAGCTGCATCGATCAATGGATCAAAAGATGTATCCCACTTAAAAACTTGTTTTCGAACTTGAACGTTTCAACAGTAAAACGATCACGCCTCCCTGGAAACATTTCTCTCGTATTTCTCAACAGTATCGAGGGAATAACAACAGCGATGTACGTATAAATCCCCCGGGGCATACTGTATACACAATTATACAATTAATAATAATCGTAGTTAATAACTGATGAACTCGGTAGGATATTTCATTTTGTCACTAGAGGCGAGATCGTCAAGCGCGCGACGCTAAGTTGCAATTACTTGAAAAAAAAGAAAAAAAAAGAGGGGGGGGGGAAGAAGAAGGATGCAGAAACGAGAGCAAACACGAGAGAGAAAGACAGAGGAAAAAGAAACGAACAAAGAGGAGAGCCCCCATTGAGATCAATACCGTTTTCGAATGTTTTTCCAACGTTGTTGTCGCGTTCTCGCGATACGATTATATATATATATATATATATATATATATATATATATATGTCGTTTCTCTCCTGGCACGTTACCACGTATCGTGGATCGAAATTATTATTGCATCGACCTGTCGCGTTTGTCGAAAATGACGAGTGCGTTGCACAAGTATACGCGAGGCTGATTTCTTCCCCAATCATTGAATCCGATTATTGTATTTCTCATCTTGTTTCTCAGTTTTCTAATTTATCGAATCGTTCTCGATTGATCATGTACGCGATTTTATATTATTATTATTATTATTATTGTTATCGTGCTTTTGATCGAATGTGTGCTTTTAATTGAACGGAAAAAAGAAAAGTTATCAGGCAAAAAATGGAACACTCTCATTGCTAAATTATATCGTGTGCTTCGCGGTTTTCTTGTTCTTTTTTTTTTTTCTTCTTGTCTGTCTTCATCTCCTTGAAGAAACGGTGAAAAGGGCGTTTCGAAGAGACTACAGGGATTATTCTGCGTAGAAAGAAGTAATAAGACTAGTAAGAGAAGAAATGGTGCAACAGAACAGTATTTTTGTATTAACTATGTCGGCACGGAGGCGTGCACTCTCTCTCTTTCTCTCTCTCTTTCTCTTTCTTTTTTAGGAGATATTATTATTCGTAACTATACGCATATATATTCGGGCATTTAGGGATCAAAGTTTCGCAATATATCTGTTTCAGTGTCACGGTAACGGTCATCGCGTGCTCGAAGCAAATTAGCCGAAAGCTAGAACAGGTCAGCGATTTGAAAAAAAGAAAAGAATAAGAAAACGGCAGTGGCGATAATTTATAATCGGAAAAAAAAAAAAAATGACCGAGGAAAGCTCTTTCGCTTTCGCTTCATCCCTTTCGTTGCAAGTGTATCGGGCGACAACCCAAGTCGAATGATTTGGAAAGTGATTCTAAAAAAGTAATCCGAGTCGAAGAGTGTGCTTTTTGTGTCGGAGTTACGGCGAACGATGAAAGCGAGGATGAAGAACTCCGTTTATTTATATCGAACGTATAATTCCTATTAATTTATATAGATAATAAAACAAACACGGTTTATTTTATTTTATTATTTTAATGTCTGGGGGAGGCAGATAGTATTTATAATTGGAGCTCTCTTTTCTGTTAATGATTTTTTTTTTTTGTCCAAGAATTCAGGATTGAAACAAGTGGATTCAATCGGGTATTGATATGAAAATTTGGTTCAATTAAAATGGAGTTCTACTATACTTGCGTATGCTAAGCACAGGTCTGCAAGCTGTCGCAGTGTGAATAATTACATTCGTTAGGTATCGAATTCTCAACGAAATGATGACTAATACTCGATCGAAGAGTTCAAACAATTCGGAATGTACGACTTATCGATCGTTACTTACAATTAGATCAACGTGTCTCTTGCGTTTCGTGCTCGTCGTCGTTTATCGCAGCTCCAACATAAACGTGTCGCTGACAAATCTTCTGTTTCTCTTTCATTTTTTCCGTGCTGCATCGATTCGTCCGGAGCAAGATTCTCCACTTTTGTCGTTTCGACAAAACTCTCCACGACTATTCCTCGTGCACGTGCACGCTTCTTTCGATTCTCTCTGATTTTCTCTCGCGGGTTTCCAGTTTTTAGTTTCAAACCGTCGGTGAAGGTTTCCCTGCTTCTCGAAACGAGCAAACGCTATACAGAATTCAGGGGAGGAAAGAGAAGGAAGGAGTAGAGTTGCTAGCGTAAGTTAATACTTAATCCATAAAACGATACCACTTCGTTTCTAGTGCCATACAACGCTGTTATTAATTGGGAACGACTCGTGAATACGTATTTCGTTTCGTGTCCTATCTCTCATGTCTCTCGATAATGAAAGAAAAAGAGGAACATGAAAGAAAAAAGGATGGGAGAAAGATGTTCAACCCATTAACGACCAAGCAATCTCTTGAGATTTTATGAAATTGTAGGGCCTAGATAAGAAAATGTTAACATACTAAGCAAAGGGATCCTTGAAATTTCTTTTGTGGCCAACGATACTAAATGCTTCAGTGATGTTTGCGCACTGTACTGACTTCAGAGAGAAGTAGATTTGCGAGGGAAGTTAATATAGTTATATTTCAGAAGTAAAAATCGAGATACTATGAAATGAAATTTGAAACAAATGTTAATTTCGTTAACTTGCCTGTAACCATCATTGAATGATCATCCTTTGGGTGTTTACTAAAATTACTGTCGAATGACAAGTATACGTTCATTAAGAATGAATTTTATATATATATATATATATGCATATGCATTCATTCATGTTATATATTTATTAAATATATTTTAATATATTGTTCTCTTTGAATTTTTAATATGTAAGTAAACGAATTATTTTATTAGACTAAACACTCAAAGGGTTCAAGAGTATCATTTGAAGCATATTTTATGTATTTGCATGTGTCCAAATAATCATGGATGGTAAACATGACAAAATTGATACGGCAATTATCGTAATTCTTTCGGGAAATGAAACATTATCAAAAGGAATATTATTAGTCCGGAGACGACAAAATTAGCTTTGACACAGCGATTCGACAATGAATTCTTAATCCTCTTGGCAGTTTTTCTAAAATAAAAAAAATAATATATGTGTATACTGCCTTTCAGTAGAAACATTTCAGTGAAAATAAGGGCGTCGATTAAAAAAATCTAGAATGTTCAAAAAGTATTTGAAAAACTGTTCAAATTGTGTATTAAAATCGTCGATTTTTTTGTTACATGCTTCTTATTTGCTGTTCAATTTTTTTATATGGTAATTTTAATTGATCCGGTCTCATCTTATCGCAGATACTAGTTATTAATCATTGTTGTTACGAATAACAATTTATTCACTTTTTATATTATTTTTTTGATGGGTCAAATAATTCACTAATCTCCCCTGCAGGTGACTTTTGTTCGTATATACCGAGCACTGACTGAAGTTTGTTTTAAATAAACAAAGTACATGTAAACGGAGTTCTATCATAGACGAAATCATTTACATGGCCATCTAGAACCAAACTAAACCAATTTGAACCATCTAAAGCTACAAAGAATATTGTTAATTAATTTAAATCTATAAAAATCGTCAAAAATTCCGAATCGTCGAAAAGGAAAGAATTAATTTGACATAAATTAGTCGAAAAGTGATGGTTGGTCCTTAATGGGTTAAGAGAAGCAGGGGAAGTAAAATATCTTAAATATAAAAATTGTCAAATGATCGTTGCAGATCTTTTGCAGGATTATAGTGGAAGAACGTGGTAGAAGGCGGAGGATCTCGGTAGAAATCGTGTGAAAACGACAGAACGCCATTCGACTATCTGTAGATGGATCGTCGACGATGCCGATTTTTACCGTGTTCGTAGATATCGACAGGTAATCGCGCGCTCTTTCATCAACGATAAATTAAGCATTCGCTCTCCGATCGAACTTCTCTCATCTTCAATGAAACGTGTTTACATAGTTTAGTGTCGCGTTAACGAGAGGACCGTGCTGCACCTTGCTAACTAAAAAGGGAGAGTAATATCAACTTGAGATCGTACGAATGATCGTCGAGCTGATCACACGTTTGCTGTATGCATTGCATTCTTGCGTAAGTACTTAAGAGGCGAGCAGATCGCGCGTGTTGCGTGTCTCGGATGCTGGCTGATTTAGGTTTAGATGATGGTGGCGGGTGGACGAGGCTAAACGAGCGAGCGGAGGAGACTGTAGAGACGTGTTGAGAGTATTTATAGCAAGAAGCAGGCAGCTCCGCTCTTTTATCATTAACAAGAAGCACGATCTTTCATTTACAAGTTAGCTTCAAATGAAATTTTCATAATTCAATATATTTATAAATATAATGTCTGACGCTTTAATCGCCTTTTTTCCGTTGGTTCGCCAGAAAGTGGAGCTGCTTCTTTGTTGCAGCAGTGTTTCCCTCCGTTTGTAAAAAAAAGGAAGAAAAGTTGGAGCGTATGCGTTCGCAATCTGTGGCGAATTCGTGGCGACGGTGGATCGTCGATTTAGGAACGGTCTCTTGTTTAATTAATTGTAAAGAGACACCTCGTTCACCTCCGTGAATGCCGCCGATCGTACGCTGAAACACCGTGAGACGATCGCGATTCATCGCTTCGTCCTGCGATGATCGTTAACGCCCTTTCACACACACGTGGACGTGTACTATATTAACGCGTGAGATGATTGCGGTTACAGGTTTGTTCCCCCTTCAGACAGACGGGTATTCTGATATAAATATACGCACGCATGTATATAAAGTATACATATATATAAAAAAAAAAAGAAAACCAGAATCTGTTATACAAGCTGTTTAAAGAGCGGATTATCGTAAAGAAAAAAGAAAAAAAAAAAAAGAAGTTTACCGTAGATTATATGGTCGAATAATCTGTATTGTTCACTTGGACGTTCTACACGAATCATGATAACATGAATGCGCGCACCAGCGAACTTGGACTCCCCCCCGAACAGAGAAGGGTGTGTTGTAATCACAAAACTATTGTTAACGGAACAGTGAGTTTTCAGGCATCATGGAAATGTCTTGTTTTTTTCTGTGAATTACAATAAACTATTTTATTCTACGTGGTCGTGTTATTTTTGAATAAAAAAAAAAAAAGAAGAAGACGAAGAAGAAAACATGTCTCTCCTCTCCATATTGTCCATACAGTCCATCGATTTTGAAGTTTCGAAACGATTTTCCTATATATATATATATATCGATTCATCGTGATTCGTCAATTTGCATGCCTATGATGAGCGATCTCTCTAACAAGATGTGTGCATCTCTTTTCGTTGTCGACCGGTCTCGTCGTTTAATACACTGTATACGTCGACGAGCCGTGTCCCTTTCTCTCTGTTTGCGAAGGAAATACTTTTGTTTCTGTTTTTTTTACAAACGCGCAAGTCAGTCATCGGCAACGATGTTTCTCCGTGATCGAGGAATGTTTCGATTTTTAAAACGTGAAACGATTTACCTTAACATTAACGGCTCTCGAAAAAGAAGATACGTAATAAATTACGAATGAGTTGAAGATGATTCTTACAAAGCTAGAAAATATTTGGTCGTTTTTTTCGAAGTAAACGCACGCATAATCGCGAACAAAGCAACGTTTCACCGAGCAGCGGTAGTGGCGGCAACGAATCACCGCCGGTTACTGCGTCCTATCTACTAATTCTTACACCGTAGACATTTGATATCGGGGATTGAACGAAGCGCGATCCGATGGTAACTTACTTTGTACCCTTATACGGCTATCTAAAACTAAAAATCTATGATACAAAATACAAGCGAGAAATACGGTACTCGCGAGACGATGCACGCCTCCCCCTTGGACCATTCATAAAATCTAAAAGAAACGCGAAACTGTCGTAATACTGGTTTTACAAAACGAAGAAAAGACTCGTAAAAGGAAAAGAAAAAAGAAAGAAAGAAACGAGCGATCGGCTACTGGTGATCTATCGTTTGAAAGAACCATTCGGTGAAACGTCGAAGTTGCTGCGCGGCCGCGTGGCTCTCGTCTTGCAGGCGCCGGTTTTCGTCGCGCAGACGACGCACTTCGTCCTCGAGGGAAAGCCTGCGGCGCGTCTCCCTGGCGACTCTCAGCTCGAGGGTGGATAGGTGCGACTGCAAGTCCGACACGGAGCTTCTGAAACATAGAAAAAGAATGGTCATTGATCGGGACGCGCGTGTCAGAAAGAAGAGAGAAAAAGAGAGAGAGAGAGAGAGAGGCATAGATGCTGTGTCAGTGAGTCGTGGAAAACACCGTGTTCTTTTTTTTTTTTTTTTTATCGTGCAACGTGATGCGAGATTTGAACGTCGCGTCGCTGAACTTACGCGATGGTATTGCATCCATCGATAAGTCTGTCGTCGGGCCATTCTTGGGCGTGCTGCTTCGATCTAGAATCCACGTGGTGATTTTGCCAACGATCCATGTCCGTATCGTTATGATTTTTCGCGTCTTTGACGGACATCGTGTTGGTCGGTGCTTTGGAAATCGAATGGGGAGGTTTGGTAACGCGCGGTGACAATCTAAACTCAGAGATTACAGACACACACACATACGCATATTGTGTACTCTATATATATAAAATAGGCGATAGGTATCGATGATGCATGGTATACGTGTAACGATCGCCGATCGTGCTTACCTCTCCTCTTTCGACAGTTTGTTCTCGCTGGGCGCGGGGCTGGACGCGGTGCTCGCGTTCGAAATGACGGTGGCCGGTCTGGCCATTGTCAGGATCACCTCGGACCCGGTGTTCCCGTTCTCCTGGCCGTTCGTCGGCAGAACGGTCAACGCGTTGCCACCGTTGCCGCATAAATTTTCCCTCGATCGACACCTGTTCTGTATCTCCAGTATGTTGTTGTTGAGTTTGTTCGAATTGTGGCCGGCCATCACGTTGTTCGTTGTTAGTTGATCGTCGTCGGTGATGTAGTCCGGATTGATCAGCTTCATCAGATCCTCTTGGAGTGTGCTGGATGTTAAATTGGCGGAATTCCGGTGAGAGTTTCGCACGGCCGACGTTTTCGGCCGTGGGCTCTGATTCCTCGAACCGGCGCTCGACGGTGTTAGATTCCCCGGCCGATGTTTGTTCGTCGCTCTTCTCAGTCGCGGCGACACGCTCCCGGATCCGTTCGACAATTCGTCCTCGCTGGGCAGAGCGGCCACCTCCGGGCAATTGTCGGCGATTCTCACCACCTCCGGCGGTAGACTCGCGGCGAACACGTCTTTCGTCTGCCGATACTCGACGTTTATTTTGTGAGGTACTGGCCTTTCGCTGATGCTGGTTTTCAGACAGGTCACCTTCTCGCCGACTTTGAATTCGTGCGGCAACTCGTACCTGATCGACTCCCGATTTTGCTCCACGTTCTCACCGCCACTACCGCCTCCGTGTTTCCTCTCGCTGGCAACACTGACGTGCTGACAATCGATCTCGTATTTGCCGACATCCATGTCGTATTTACTGTTCCGTCTCTCGTATATCTCCTCCGAATATTCGTAACTGATCGCCGCTGCCCTCTTCTCGTCTTGCGTCTCGTACTTGGAGCTTCTGTCCAACTTGCCGTCGTGCTGTTGCTGCTGTTGCTCGTACTCGTTGCATCTGGTTCCGAGATTGTTGTTGCTGCCAGACTTGGGCAGACTGTAGGACGCGTTCTGCGCCAAGGGCAAAGAGTTGGACGCGTTCAGCTTCTGATGGGTAACGTAGTGCACGTCGTTTTTCTGTAGCTCCCTCTGAGAGGCGTACAAGCTCTCCTGCTTGCCAATCTCGTACTTCTCTTTCTGCAGCTTCACGTAGTTGGTGGAAACGTGGTCGTGGCGGTAAGAGTTGTCCAACTGCCTTTGATAACCGTCGTGTCTCGCGCTGTTGTCGATCTGCATCAATTTCGGTGACGCGTAATTGCTCTCTTTCGAGTAATGATCCTGCTGCTGTTGCTGCTGCTGCTGCTGCTGCTGGCTGTGATGATGCTTCGAATTCTCCGAGAACTGTTTGCTACTCGCGTAATGCGATTCCTTGTCTTTCCTCTGGGCGGAAGACTTCGAAGCGATCATCTGAAAGGATTGTCTGGCTGGAAGTGGTGGCGGAGGCGTGTCGGTATTGGTACGATACCCAGCACTCTCTTGGTCTTGCGGCTCCAGAAGCTCGTACCTATTGAGAGAAGAGACGGGAAAGATGTCGCTAAACCTCCACCTGGTTAACCAGACGGCTTGGCCAACCTCTCCGCGGTTGCCTGTTATTCTTACCAACGATCGTCGTTGCTGCTGTGCCCGCTGCTACTGCTGGTCATTGTTCCCTCCATGGGAAATCGCGGATCGTTGAACGATCTGGAACTGGATCCCGTCCCGTAGCCGGAACTGTTGCTCGATCGCGGCGGGCTGAACGATCGCTCGTATCGTCTCTGGTGAGACATGGCTGTCTGCTGAGTCGGTGTGTTATCGGGGCTGGTTACGTTCTCGTAATCACCTTCGTAGTTAGTCGATAAATACTGGCAGTTTTGCAACGTGCAACCTCTGTTAGTAAGGAGGGCACAAGAAAAGAAAACAACGATCAACGAATTAGCAAGGGAGGAACGTAAGTATTAAGAAGACAAGAAGAGGGCTTAACATTGAAGTATTTCGACAAATATTTAATAATGCATGACACATATGGAGAGTTTGGATACTAATTGATACAAGACACTTATTAGGAGAAATAATTGATGCGAATATTTTCTTGTTGACAAAATATTATTTACTTTATCATGATGATTGTATTATTGACCGGACGCTTTTGTTAACAGAATAGTTGTAAAATTTTTAATAGAAAGTGACTTTATATTATCTTACCTTTACATTATCTTATATTATAGTATTATATAGTACTACTATAGTACTATAATATAAGATAATATAGTACTATATAATACTGTAATATATGATAATATATTTTAGGGTGAAATATAATAGTTGAGAATATCTTTTTAATTACAATATCTTTATATTACAGTACTATATAGTACTATAACATAATATAAAATAATGTATTATCATATTATCATATATTACAGTACTTTATATCTTATTTATATTATAGTACTATATTATCTTATATTATAGTACTATGGTAGTACTATATAGTATTATTATAGTACTATAAGGTAATATAGTACAATATAATACTGTAATATATGATAATATGATAATATATTTTAGGGTAAAATCTAGTAGTTGGGAATATTTTTTTAATTAGAATATCTTTATATTACAGTACTATATAGTACTATAACATAATACAAGATAATATACATTATAGTACTGTATAGTACTATATAGTACTATCATAGTACTGTAATATATGTGAAATATAATAGTTGGGAATATCTTTTTAATTAGAATATCTTTATATTACAGTACTATATACTATAACATAATATAAGATAATATATATTATATTATAGTACTGTATAGTACTATAATATAAGATAATATAGTACTATATAGTACTATAATATATGATAATATATTTTAGGGTGAGATATAATAGTTGGGAATATCCTTTTAATTAGAATATCTTTATATTACAGTATTATAACATAATATAAGATAATATATATTATATTATAGTACAGTATTATATAATACTTTACACTTTACGATTAGCTTCTGAACCCTACGATAATAATCTCGTGTCTCTCACCTTCTGGGATTACCGTCGCTGTTAGGCGGTATCACGGTGACAGTGACCTGGGCGCTGGTTTTCAACAAATCAACCATCTGATCGTGACTCAGAGTGGACACGGCTACTTTGCAGATCTCGACGAGTCTGGATCCTTGTCTCAATCCTGCTTGCCAAGAGAGGCCCATACTTTCGACTTGTGTCACCACACCGTCCGGCTGTACGTGAAAACCCAATTGTCCGAGGCTGTTCCTTTTCAAGGAAAGTTCCGTGGCTGGAGAGCCTGGGGTTACAGCGCGCAAACGTGCCACTATCTCCATCAGTTCGTCTCTTTCCCCGTAATCGCCGCGCACGTGAATGGTGATACATTCCCCTTGATGATAGTACAATCTCAAGCTGTAAAAAGCGAACACGGATTAGGAGATTTACGAACGAGCACGATTGTGTTTAATCCTTAATTGGTATTATTGGACAGAGTTTAGACCTCAAGATATGTCTTTTCACAGGCGTGGGCATTATTCAAATAACATGTTTGAAAAATGACGAACTGAATGATGTATTTAATTGGACGATTTGAAATAATTGTTATTAGTTAAAATAATTCATTATTCAAAATTGTTGAACTTCAGGTTAAGAGACATTGATTTAGATTATATTCAAGTTACTCTAGAATATTTTAGATTTAAAAAAATTGGAAAGCACTTTAAGATTAAATACTATATTAAATACTCATTTACAATCCAACTACGCCAATTGAGAAAATGAAAAGCAAAGACTAAAAAGTCAGTACCTGTTTGTCTGGGCATGCCATCCGAGCACGCTCACGCATGGAGTAACGAACACGATCTGTCTGGAATGTTCTTCGATCAAGACGATCGTATCTATGCTTATTCCTAAATAGCAATCCGTGTTCTGATTGCTGTCCTCTAGTATCACCTGCCAACATATCGCTCCGCGTTGCAAAGCGTCGCAAGACAGTCTCGGTCGGACGGTGGTTTTCTTCTTGCTGCTGAACGACAGCATAGCTGTACAAAAACACAAGTCGTGGATTGCTCGTTCGAAAGGACAACGATAAGGTTGGAAAGATCGAGGCTGAGGATCAAGGTTGATGTTAAAGTTAAAATAAGGAAAACAACTTACAAAATTTTTGTCCGGTGTCAACCATTGTGGTGGAAGAATAGTTGTTAGCGAGGTCCTTCAAGTACTCTTGCCTCGTCCTAGTCGCCATCGTGGCAAACTTCTCAGATCTACGACGAAAGTAGTAGTAAAAGTCTTTCTTTGAAAACTAACTCTTAGTGTTGAAATGAAATATTTCTGGGTGAAGCTAAATTAATTTTGTTAGCATGTAACAATTTAAATACTCTGCAAATTTAACTGGATCTAATTTTCAACAGAACGTAGGAAAAACAAAAATATAATATCTCTTTCTACTCTGGCAATCAATGTGCTAGATTTCTTCTTTTTTTCCTTGTAATATCGCGATCATCATTATTACCTGTGCGCAGCATTCTCTGCATTGATCACCTTCGCCAAAATAAAGTCAGCAAATGCTTTCCCCTTGGTGTACGTCGCACCTTGAGGAACTGGTGGCCCGAAAATTGATACTTCTTTGCTCCTGGATACGGCTACCTTGTACTGAGTGTTGTCCGAACACGGATCAACAGCTCTGACCACAATGAACACGTGTTGAAACTGCGACCGTATCCTTCGAGGGCTGAACGGTAACGCGCCAGGTTCCTGTTGCACCAAATACACAGATCACAGATAAACGATCGTAAGATACGTACCAAGCAAACAAACACGATTTACCTGGAAGACGATCGTGACTATGTCATTTCCTATGTGTCTCTTCCTAAGCAGCTGCTGCCTGTTATTCGGAGTAAAAGGCAACATCGTTGACACGTGAAAGGTTACTTCTGCTCCTCTATAGACTGCGGTGACCGCGTGGGTGCCGGTTGAATCGGTTCTCGTGTCTAAACCGGCCTTGTACCCTTCGAATCCTCGCAGTCTGATTCTTTGGCCTATCGCATAATATCAGGCGCGTGTGCAAGCAAGTGTAACGAATGTGAAAAAGGAAATGGACATTTTGCACAACTTATCTTACCGATAGAGTCAAGAAATTCGAGTAACGCCGGTCCAGCGTGCTGATTGTTATACATCTCTTCTTCGGTTCTTTGACCGGATCTGCAGTAAAGAACGCCTACTTTGTATTTGTTAGAGAGGCCTTGCTCGTCCAATCTAGTCACAGCCTCCTCGGCAGAGGAAATTCCCAGACGGAGGCAACCGAGTTGAACCTCCGGTGCGACCAACTCCAACAGTTCTCTGGTCGGTAGCCTGCCTTGCGGCCTTATACCGCCGAGTGCCTCCTCCGGTACCGAGCCGCGAAGCGTCAATAACTCCGACGTGCGAACTATTATTCTATACTGATTGCCGTCCTTTCGGATGCTGATGGCAACCGGGCCCAGCTGCTCGTCCATACCGAACCAATTCTGATGTTCTCGACCTGTGGAAACAAGAACGTTGTGAGTACAAGAACTGTTATTCTTCTGTCTATATATTAAAACTGTTGTAAAATACATTGACGCTTCAATTTATTCCACAATTTTATTGTATTATTCTATGGTGTTGTAATTTATTCCCCCCGGAAAAAATTCCAGTTGAACAGATTTCTTGTAAAATATTACAGTGTGTGTAGATCTAAAATTGAAACAGAATTTTCAGTGAAATTCCATTTGTATAGTTTCCTAGTTAAAATTAACAGATTTTTTTGCAAAATGTTACAGGGTATGTAGATTTGAAGTTGAAACATGAATCGTGTGAAACTCCATTTGAGGAATAATACTTCTCTTAAAGTAATGCTCTTAAAGTAATTAAAAATATTCCCAAATACCATATTTCACTCTAAAATATATTATCATATTATCATATATTACAGTACTATATAGTATTGTAATATATGATAATATATACTATATAGTACTATGACATAATATAAGATAATATATATTATACTATAGTACTGTATAATACTATACATATATAGTACTATAATATATGATAATATATTTTAGGGTGAAATATATAGTAGTTGGGAATATCTTTATATTACAGTACTATATAGTAATATACTATAATATAACATAATACAAAATGATATATAGTAATATACTGTAACATAATATAATACAAGATAATATATATTATATTATAGTACTGTATAGTACTATATAGTACTATAATATAAGATAATATAGTACTATATAGTACTGTAATATATGATATGATAATATATTTTAGGGTGAAATATAATAGTTGGGAATATCTTTTTAATTAGAATATCTTTATATTACAGTACTATAACATAATACAAGATAATATACATTATAGTACTGTATAGTATTATATAGTACTACTGTAGTATTATATAGTACTACTATAATATAATATAAGATAATAGAGTCTTCCACTACGTTTGACAATCAATATAACAAACTAACTGTTAAAACTACCGTTTAAAGTTCAACTACGTCGTTGAACCAAGTTAAAGTATTAACATACAAAGTCAATGCGAAATGGAAAGCAAATGGAAGTTAAAAGTTCAACAAACAACGTCTATTTGCAAAAGTGAAGAGTTTTTTCTTGGCCGATCATCGGCACGCTTACCGAGGAAGTACCGTCTGTAGTAATGAGCGCCCTCGTCGATGCTCTCGATAGGCAGCGGCCGTTTCTGCAGAGGGCAAGTGTGCTTCCACAATGATTCGCCGGGTGCCGGTTCCAAAACCGCGACACCGTATGACAAAGACGGTCTGTGAACACCGTTGCCTGGTGATGACCGAGTGAGGCCCACCTCCCGTTCTCCCTCGCCGCCGATTTCGTTCCGGAAGAAGGGACACGATTCCAGCAAGTTGTTGCCTAAACGTCGATTCGATCAATTAGCAGCCGGATTGAAAACGTGAACACAATGTGGACACAATGTGACGGTTACGCACCTCGTCCATCACCAGCGTCTTCCTCGGGCGTCTCGTCGGGTGTGGACGCTCTGAAGGAACTCGCGGCCGAGGCGCCAGTCGCGGTGTTCCTTCTCCTCGCGAGCAGAATACCTCTCAGCTTGGCCGCGTAGCCGAGATTCGCGGTGAGCGATTGGCAGTCGTAGTGGGCGAACGCTCGCCTTCTGTGTCGTTCCTCGACGTCCGCTGAAACACCGACCGGATTGTTGCAGCTCTCCTCCATTGGCCGAGTCGTCGCCTTCGCGCCCCACAGTCTGTGCAGCTTCAACCGTAATTTCGGGCTGGAGTTACCGGTCGTCGGGCCGCAAACTTCGTCCACGTCAACGATCTGCCCGTCTGTGACGCGTCTCAGGTATTCCACCGAATTCCGCTGATCCGAAGAAGACGGAGGGGTGGACGCTGTCGACACCGACGACGACGACGGCCTCAAGTCTTGGAGCATCGCGAACAAATTCTCACCGACCGTCACCGATTGTGCCACTACGTCGATGCTTCCTGCGAGAGCAAAATCAATCGACTATGTATAATATAAATTTTAACGACAGAAGTGGCGATTTTTCATTGATGGTCTTACCGTGAGACCCATACTCCCTTCTCAGAGGAGTTTCCGGTACGCGAGAGCAGCCAGGATCCGGACTGTGAGGAAGCTCCAGACTCGAATTTGATCTGTGAAGTGCCAATCCACGGCCCACGCGGCTATTCGGTCCACCGTTACTACCTCCTCCCCCACCTCCAACTCCTCCGCTGTCTCCACCGCCACCGCCGCCGCCGCCGCCGCCGCTGTGTATCGGTAGGCTTGCGATCATCTCTTCATTCTATCAACAACGATCGATCGAAAACGTTGTTATTTTACAGTTGTTTTTCAGAGCCAACGACGAAAGTAAGTGGCTTTTCGAGGAGGGGATTTTCGAGGAAGGTGATACGACACTGTCGCGCACGTGGTTTACGTGGAAAACGAATCGAGATGGCAAAGTAGGACGGTTAATTAGTGGTGTCCATTGTCCTTTCCATTTACGCGTGCACGTTCCACGTGAACACGCGCCTACGCATTTAGACCGTGTCTCCGTGGGTTTCGCGTTTTGCTAGCTCCTCGCGGAGAAAACGGCATCCACGCCGTGCGAACAGCCGTGAATATTCACGGAGTAGCGAGGAAAATATATTCGCACGATCAAACTCCCGGGAGAAATTACTATAGTGTATCCAAACGGGGCTGGACTTTACAATGAAATTCCTTTCTTTTCTCGATTGTCGGATAGTTGAACCTGAAGATACAAGTTCTTCGGTGAGAAATTTCATTATTTTTAAATATTATAATACACATCGTGATTTACAGAGGGATAGTGATTAGTTTAAACACTAAACCGGCCGCTGAATAATTATATTAAAAATACTTTGTGCTGTAACTTTTTTCCTGCCGAAAAAGTTTCGTACGAAACAATAAGAAGCTAATGGTCGCTCGTTATGGTCCGCAATCAGTTACCAACGCAAATGGTTGAAATTACGTGCTTCAAAGGGTTAAGAATACTGCATAGAGGTTACGTTTCAGTATTTCTGAAATATATCTGTCGCTGGCAATAACATCGTTTAATAACAGGCGTTGAAAGGAAGAATCGTTGAATCACAAAGCGCGTACGTAAAGATCGGGTGCAGCGTTGGATCGAAACCAGAATTAATCGTGTTTTACAGAGGGATAGTGATTAATCTAAACACTAAACCGGCCGCTGAATAATTATATTAAAAATACTTTGTGCTGTAACTTTTTTCCTGCCGAAAAAGTTTCGTACGAAACAATAAGAAGCTAATGGTCGCTCGTTATGGTCCGCAATCAGTTGCCAGCGCAAATGGTTGAAATTACGTGCCCCAAAACGTTAAGAATACTACGTAGAGATTACGTTTCAGTATTTCTGAAATATATCTGTCGCTGGCAATAACATCGTTTAATAACAGGCGCTGAAAGCAAGAATCGTTGAATCACAAAGCGCGTACGTAAAGATCGTGTGTTGCGTTGGATCGAAACCAGAATTAATCATGTTTTACAGAGGGATAGTGATTAATCTAAACACTAAACCGGCCGCTGAATAATTATATTAAAAATACTTTGTGCTCTAACTTTTTTCCTGCCGAAAAAGTTTCGTACGAAACAATAAGAAGCTAATGGTCGCTCGTTATGGTCCGCAATCAGTTGCCAGCGCAAATGGTTGAAATTACGTGCCCCAAAACGTTAAGAATACTACGTAGAGATTACGTTTCAGTATTTCTGAAATATATCTGTCGCTGGCAATAACATCGTTTAATAACAGGCGCTGAAAGCAAGAATCGTTGAATCACAAAGCGCGTACGTAAAGATCGTGTGTTGCGTTGGATCGAAACCAGAATTAATCATGTTTTACAGAGGGATAGTGATTAATCTAAACACTAAACCGGCCGCTGAATAATTATATTAAAAATACTTTGTGCTCTAACTTTTTTCCTGCCGAAAAAGTTTCGTACGAAACAATAAGAAGCTAATGGTCGCTCGTTATGGTCCGCAATCAGTTGCCAACGCAAATGGTTGAAATTACATGCTTCAAAGGGTTAAGAATACTGCGTAGAGGTTACGTTTCAGTATTTCTGAAATATATCTGTTGATGGCAATAACATCGTTTAATAACAGGCGTTGAAAGGAAGAATCGTTGAATCACAAAGCGCGTACGTAAAGATCGGATGTTGCGTTGGATCGAAACCAGAATTAATCGTGTTTTACAGAGGGATAGTGATTAATCTAAACACTAAACCGGCCGCTGAATAATTATATTAAATATATTTTGAGCTCTAACTTTTTTCCTGCCGAAAAAGTTTCGTACGAAACGATAAGAAGCTAATGGTCACTCGTTATGGTCCGCAATCAGTTGCCAACGCAAATGATTGAAATTACGTGCTTCAAAGGGTTAAGAATACTGCGTAGAGGTTACGTTTCAGTATTTCTGAAATATATCTGTCGCTGGCAATAACATCGTTTAATAACAGGCGTTGAAAGGAAGAATCGTTGAATCACAAAGCGCGTACGTAAAGATCGGGTGCAGCGTTGGATCGAAACCAGAATTAATCGTGTTTTACAGAGGGATAGTGATTAATCTAAACACTAAACCGGCCGCTGAATAATTATATTAAATATATTTTGAGCTCTAACTTTTTTCCTGCCGAAAAAGTTTCGTACGAAACGATAAGAAGCTAATGGTCACTCGTTATGGTCCGCAATCAGTTGCCAACGCAAATGATTGAAATTACGTGCTTCAAAGGGTTAAGAATACTGCGTAGAGGTTACGTTTCAGTATTTCTGAAATATATCTGTCGCTGGCAATAACATCGTTTAATAACAGGCGTTGAAAGGAAGAATCATTGAATCACAAAGCGCGTACATAAAGATCGGATGTTGCGTTGGATCGAAACCAGAATTAATCGATGAAATCGATGACGTTCTCGGGATCTCGAGCGTTGCATGACGCGATGCAGCTTGCGAAAGCACACTAACACACATTCGATGCAACAAATGTCGAAACTAAATGATAGGTCTCTGGTATTTCATAGCGGAAAACGACCAATATGGTCGCCAATTGTCAACTTCTCGCTCGTCCTTGCTAGCATCGACGCCGTCTAACATTTTCAAAGTCCGCCGATCCGCGTTTTCGCTGAAACAACGCGAGAACGAATCTCGTAGGCAAGTGCGCTCGTCCACGTTCCCTCCTCGTGTTTTTCCAACGAGGAGATCGCATCGTGCGAAAGTTCTCAGAATTCTGCGCACGCTTCTCGGCCGACGGCCGCGACGGTCCCTTCGTTTCCACGTTGCGACGCATTAATTTTCATTGAAGATTAGAAAAAGCAAGTGGTACACGGCCGAGGAAACGAGTTCAGGTATCACGTGTGCATCACGCTTTCGGAGAACGAGCGCGGACGATAACGAAATCGAGACGAGCAGAAGGGAAAGGAATCTGAAATCCTGTCAACCGTGCGACAAGCCTGTCATCGTCGCCGGATGCCATCGGCGCGTAGCCAGCACTTCGTGTCCCGGAAACTGGCGTTTTTGTTTTTTTCACTTCGAAAAGGTTTCCCCCCGATCATCGATCCTTCCCGAAAATTACGGGCCAAAGCTTTCCCGAAGCTGTTGTTCTGTCTCGAGACTCGCGCTACACGTAAAGAAGAAGACACGCACGCTGATCTCGAGTATCGAATTCTCTGTCGGGTTGTTGGACGATCAGCAAGGTTCATACAGTGTCGTCAAAGACGAGACAAAAATTACCGAAGGCGCGTCGAAGAACCTGCACGACGACTTTTATGTGCACGCGTTGCGTTGTGGGAACGTTCGAGCGATGCGTGTATAACCGCAGAAGCGTCGTTCATTGGCTGTATATCGACCGACATGTGACCATAAGCTTCGCGAATCCTCTACGGGGATATATCGTCGATACGATTTTTCATCGATCATTGCGAGCAAGGCAATGCACTGTGAGTTTATTTTGAGTCCGATTCTAATTAATTCTTTATGTTTCACTACAAATCTGACTTAATCACAATTTCAAAAAAGGAAAAAGAAAAAAGGACAAACAATCGGATATTTCATTTTCGTAGTGTTTTCGATCAAAAAATGAAATATTTCTAAGTTGGGAATTCTTAACATCACGCTGCTTATTCATTAGACATTCTTCAGATTTTAATTACTTTAATTACTTTAATAAAATTTTAATTATTTTAATTACTTAAAAATTTTTAATTATTTTAATTACTTTAATAAAATTATTACTTTACTAAAATTATCACTTTAATAAAATTATTATACCCACAGATATTGAAAGAATCACGATTTCGCTTCTCGAGTCAGAAAATCGCGATCTTCTTTTTTTTTAACCGCTTGCGCAACTGACTGCGGACCGTAACGAGTGACCACAACCGTGGTATACAACAATTCGTCGCTTTCTTTTCCTTTTAAACTCGTCGGTATGATATCACCGGATAGAAATTACTGAGCAGCAATAAATTTATCATTTGTTTTGCCTGGGTTATACACTTAAATATACTTAAAGCTGAGAAAATGTTGCCAATTCTGGGGCAAGAAGTTCTCGACGCGCGTGGCACGTCATTCCAGCGCAAGAGGTTGGAAGAAAAAATTCAGAAGAATGCACGATAGACGAGAAAAACAAGACCAAGGTGTACAAGATGATGGAGACCAGTAGACGAAAATACATTTTCATCCCTTTTTTAGATAAACGACAAATTATACACCTGCTCTATCTTCATCAGTCTTTCAACTAAGAATTCGTTCTAGCAAACGCACCTTTCTTCCGGTGGCGCGGTTCTCGCGAATATTGTTACTCAAACGTTGTAAGTTGCAAAGCCGCGATGATTTCACCTGATAAATGATACATTTTTCTCGTCGACGAGTTTATCGTTATATCGTGATAACGTCGAAAACGATATCGGCGGTTGCTGCGATTGGCCGCACACGTATTACACGATGACTATCTGCGCCCGTTTCGAGAGATATCGCGAAATTGTTCGAACCATTTAGACAACTCTTACGAACAAGGAAACACGTATGTACGTGCATGTGCGTTACGCGATCGAAAATTGGCGAGAAATGGCACGCAACGAAAAACAGCTAATAAAAAACGCGGACGTACCGCGTGCACGTAGATTCGACTAGGTGTTGCGCGAAACGGGCGCTGATCATCTGAACTAGTTATGTAAATGCCTTGGCATTCTTCGCGCGGTTTACCAGAGAGACCGTCTCGCGAATCGCGCACGCTCTACCATCTTTCCTCTCCTTTCCTCACCTTTATTT